AACCCTTTGACCAACTGGTCAAATTGGTCAAACTGGTCTGGTCAAGCTTGACCATTGACCGGTCCATGCCAACCCTGGTTATTAAGTAAAATTGATCTGCGTGACATATTCCCTGACTGTTACACCTGATCTTGACCGCGGTTACAAATTTATTAATCCTATTTAAAATAATCCACTCAAATTAATAAATATATATTTACTATTCGACTTAGTCAATTTTTAAATATCAACTTAGTTGAGTCGGTAAATTTATGTTCGACTACAAACACTATATATTTGCTATATATTTATAATTCTTATTTTTAATATACAGTATATGTATTAAAAAAATTTCGTATAAAATAGTTCCAAAATTGAAAATTGTTTTATTTAAAGATTGCTTCTAATCAGTAATATACAGTATATGTAAAAGTTAGATGCTAAATATTTTTACTTAATAAATTAAATCAAATTGTAATACTAAATTGTAAGCTATTGGCATTTTTTTTTTGTGCAATATGTTCAGTCCATACACTTAGTCTATTTATCTATCGATTCAATCGAAGTATGTAGGTGTATTGGATTTTGATTCAGCTTTGGTGCGTTATCACGGCGGAGGATTGGATTTTTATTTAATACCCAAATTTAACTGTAAATTGATTTTGTATTCTTATTAGGTTTAAATCTAAATAAAAGGACCAATTCGCTGATTGCAATCAGTCACATGAAAATAAACCTTTATTAAGGATGTCAGAGATACAAACGTATCAAACGCTTAATCAAGAATAGATATAAATCTACCTTTATTAGATGGAAATACGCACTCCTGTTATACATTTTCTTAAGCTACAAAATTTATTTATTTTTTTTCTCATTTTTTCGTGACGATGCCACTACTGCATGTAGGATTTTCGTCAATCAACATCTTCAAAGCTTCTACGTCATCTTTCTTTTCTTCATCTTCCTTTGCATTTTTAAGTTTCGCATCTTTTTTAACCGGTTTGTTAAAATGAAGTAAATAATGATGCCTGGCAGTTCTCAAAGCAAACCATTTGTTTACCTAATATGTAGTTGTATCGGATAAATAATGGTGATATTAATCAAATTTAGACCATCTAAAACAAAAACGATTAATTACCCAGCATTTTTCTTTTAGTTCCTTTTCTTCCACAGTATCTGATGGATCCAAGATAAACCCTATTTCTGGCTATATAAGCCACGAATCAAAATGTTATTATTAAGAACTTAGAATTAAACAAAAAATTATAAGATGACATGACTATAACTTACTGGATATCCATCCTGCTTTATTCGTTCATATACAGTAAGAAAATCTGGCGCTACTATCTTACGGGAAGTATCTGCCATGAATTCTTCATCATTATCATTTCTCGACCAAAATTCAGAAAGTTTGTTTGCACCCGTTTTATTTTCGAGAGGTTCCATAGGCTTACTCATCTTGGCCTTTCTCTTCAAAGCTTCGGCAAAATCTTCACGTGCTCTTTCGGCTCTATCCTTCATCACTTTCTCAGATCCAAAAGAACAATTATCAGCAAACTTCCAATAATTCCATCGCTTTTCCATGTTAAGTATATGTAGTATTGTACGAACAAAATTTTTTCCATTGGGTGTTGTTTCTTCAAGTTGTCCAATGACTTTATTCCATATTTCTTGGATCATATGTTGCTATTATTTCGTAAAATCAGAATCTAATGTGATATATGTCTCGTAACGATAATTTATATGATGACTAACTTGTGGTTCCATGATAGTATAAGTAGGTAATTGAACTGCTGCAGCATCGTGGGGTGCTTTCGCTTTGTTGATACGGGCCTGTTCCTCAGGGAAAAATCCTGTGAGATATTGCATTATAATAAGAATTTGCACTAATACAATTCTTCGGAAGTTTGGATCGGATATCTTTAAAAGTAAAGATATTATAGTTATTATTAATAAGAACTAATTATATAAACAAATTTTAAACAGTAAAATATTTGTACCTCCTTATCGAATAATGCGAAACTCGATAAATATTTAGGGAAATATTTAACGTAATCCTTAGCAAAAGTTATTGACTCATCCTCATCAGTTTCTATAAATTTTCTTTTTTTTCCACATCCATCATCACTTGGAGGAGACGGAAGCCCAAATTCAAAATCATTATTTCGATTTCCCCCTAAATTCTCTTCAGCAGTCTTGAGTTTCTCACGGGCAATGATATCGGCAAACCTGTTTAAAACGATGCCAATATTCTTTTGGCCATATTCCATTTAAGTCATGAAGGTAGCCATAAATGACGAAACTTGACCATATTTAACTAAATTATTTATGCTTTTATCTTACATTAAGAACAACTTCTAAATTATTGTCTTTAAACAATTTTGGGGGATTGCTAAAATAAGCTTGAAGACCCCAAAAAATGTTATAAAATGCGGCTTCTTCTCCTATAATATAAATATAATCAGGTACTCGTCAATAAAAAAAAAAACAATATGTCCATAAATAATTTAAATAATTTCATACCATTTTGTGATGCACTATAATGCGTAACATTATCAACATTACATTCACCCCCTTTGTTGACACCTATCAAAAACGAAAAATGTTAACATATGCAAATTGAAACATTAAAATAATTATATTCGGGATGTTTTGAAGGAACAGTTTATACATGCCTGAAACTTCACCGAGTGCGTAGGTATTCGACAAAAATATTAATATTCTGCCACGGAATGCATTATGATTTGACTTGGATGCTCTACGTATTAGTTCGTTCGAAAGTCTTAATAGGATCAGACCCTTTCCTTGTGTTGGTATCAAATTCTTGTAGAACGAATAGTCAATAGATCCAATTATTGATAATGGAACTTTATAAATTGATATAATTAAGAATCAGCCCGAAGCATCCCCCGGAAGTTCGGGTGATGACTACATATGTATTATTATTAGGCGACAATTTGAAAGTACTGCAAGGGTTAATGGTTAATAAAATATATGTTGTGGCTATTTCGTAGATCATCATCCGAACTTCCGGGGGTGCTTCGGGCTGATTCATGTAATTAAATTTTAAATTCAAAATTTGGCATACCACAAGCAGCCTTTTCTTATTTGTTTCCAGGAAGCTATATAGTTTTTCGCAGACTTCAAGAGGTTGTGTTTCCATCAATTCTTCCAATATCGTCAAAGTAATAGCTTGTTCACATAAAGCTAAGTTAAAAGCAATATTTATTTATTAATCAACTATAACATATTTATTAATAAGTTTGAGTTTCACTTACAACTCTCAGCTTCATGACACCCTAGTACGAGATTCAGTAGTCTAAATGCGGCTGGTATAAGACGATCAGGTGGATATGTCTAAGATGACAAAAATTTAGGACTTTACATTGAAAGTAATACTAATATTATTAACTAGTGTTATACTATATTTACAGAAATTCTCGCTGATAATTTTTTGAAAACATGCTCAAGAGTTGCCTTTCTTAAGTCAACAATTTCTTTGTTTGCATTTGCAAGTGGTACCAGACATTTTTTGATATTTTCTTCAAGTGACTCTTGAGAATCGAGACACTGATTAACTGCTTGTTCAATTTTGACACACAGACTTTCGAAAGTCGCCATTCTTGTTACTGAAAGAGGATAATAAAAACGGAATCAAGGTATATTAATGATTGGCTTTCACGATCTTTATATGGTAAAATGTAAGATTCTAGAAAACTAAATAACGATAAAAGAAGGAAAACTGAGAAAACAAGTGTATCATACGATTTTTGCCGAGTTTGAAGACAGCAGAAAAAAAAAATCTGTACTAGTTTTGTATGCACTAATAACACGTGAGAGCCATGACTTTAGAGTTAAGGTTCCACTAAAAATTTTAGTAGTAACGGTAATGTTATACAATATCAAAAATCTCAAAAGTGTTATCGTTATTAAACTTATTGTATTAAACGAATTATTTAACGTGATTTGGTTTGTTTTTGCTCATATTTGCTAGTTCATTACGAAAATACAGTGTTCTGTTTCCCAAAGTTAAACGTGAGGCTTCTGCTTCAAATATGTCGTATATTCATGTGATCAATACTCATATAACCTGTCATTACAGTAACAGTGACTAATTTATTGACATGTTTTTTAAGCCCACTCCATTTGCGTTGAAGTGTTTCGAAATAAGCCTCCATTTACAAAAATTCTAGGACGAACTAAAAATTTGCTCTTTCCCGAAATTTTCATTGGTTTTTCTAACGTTAAGAAGCACTAAGTCGTTATCTTTGGTACTGAACTAATCCACACAAGCGATATAATTTCCGGATAATTATCATAGATGATCTATATATGACGAAGTTGAAAAAATTTCGGGAGGAAATTTTTAGGTTATCTCAGAATTTACATAACAGCCCTAGTTCGAGGGACCGTCTAAAGCCAGGTGCGTTCACGTGACTAACAGCCAATCAAAATATAAATTTTGATTAACCCGGATCAGCCCGGCGAGACAAAAACAAAGAAAAAAAGTGAAAAACGCCGAAAATACAAGAAACGAGTGTCTAAACCTGTCTTGAAGCATTAATAAAAAATGCCAGGAAGATGATTTTACCTATAAGAACTGCTCCAACCCTAACTCCTAACTAACCCTTACCCTAATTTTAATTAAATAATCAAAAACATATGAACGCACCGGGCTTTAGCCGTTCCCTAGTTCGATAAGTGAATAGTTACACGAATTTCATATTGATGGCGTAATTTAAAGGTGAGTGCAAGTTTAATAATTGTAATATCAATTGATATTCTAAATTTTTAAATATTTTCCAATTAAATAAAATGATATTAAGTTAGGGGAGATGGCCGAGCGGTCCAAGGCGCCACGTTAAGGCCGTGGTCTCGTAAGAGGCGTGGGTTCGAATCCCACTCTCCTCATCAACAGATTTATTATTTTTAAAAATGGACCTTTTTTCTATTTTTTTTTTTTTATTATCCATGATACCAGCGCGGACCCATGAACTCGTGATTTATGACACCCTTGTGAACCAAATCATTTATTTGTCGTTGATCACTTGCATTAGAATTAGTGTTAACGTTAACGCATAATTATCGATCATATTTGATATTCTTATTTTCTTGATAAACTGAAACTGAAACGATTAAGCCCTTATAGATGGGCGGAAGTAGTCGTCACGAAAGAGACCGCGACTATTCAGAAGGAAGTTCTTCTAGAAGATCCCGCCAAGACGACTCTGTTAATGTATCAAGTGGTACGGCCAATGAAGTGGGAAGAGAATTTGCAAATCGTTACGGGGTAAGTTATTTTAACTTTTTTTTAAAAGACTGAACAAAAGAAAATGATTAAATAAATTAATATTTTGTTCTCAGGGGCTATTTTCTGAAAAAGATTGGAAATGTCCAATGTAAATTTTTTACCACCCTTTATAATAACTTTTTGTTTGTAAATAAGTATTAATATATTTTTGCAAACGCGTTTAAGTTGTTCCAATATAAATTGGGCTAGGAGAGCAGAATGTAATCAATGTAAAACACCAAAACCAGGTTTAGAAACTACTATGGGTTCAAGGGAAGGTCGTGGTGGAGGATTTATGGAGCGCGATGAAGTAGTAGAATACAAGAAATCAAGAGATGCAGAAAAAGACGAAGAATGGGACGAATTTGGTAGAAAAAGGAAAAAGAATAGAGATAGCGGAATTTATAATAATGGGAACGACGGTAGACGAGAATTGTATCAAGATGGAGAGAACAGTATATATAAACAAGAACCCAATATAGTTGATGAAGAGGAGGATGAAGATGATGATCGGTGACTTGTTTTTTTATAATTTATTTTTGTAATTTTATTGCATCATTATAAATTTTTTATGACTATTAACTTATGTGTAATTCAATCTTAACACAATAATTTATTATCAATATAATTTAATATATTCACTAACTGGATAACGGAAGTTGGGCCGCATGGGATGATATTATTGGTAATGAAGACACAAAAGAGAAAACAAATGGAAAAAAAGACAATCAAAATAGGTCAATTGATGATAGAGAACAGTCTAAAAAGCCAAGGTTAGATAATCAGTACCGTCGACGTTCTTCACGGTCACGATCACCATGCCGTCGCGATCGTTCATTGTCGCGGTATAGGCGATCACGTCGAAGTAGCAGATCTATTTCTCGAGATCGCATGAGAAGTCGATCAAAATCAAGAGATCGAAAGAAGTCAGAAATTGATAGTCGTTATTATAAATCACGAGAGCGAGATTTGGATAAGGAAAGGGATAGGAGAAAAACACATCGTAGTAGATAGAGATTCTTACCAATAATTAAAAAAAAAACAGCTAAAACTAATTTCCTGACCTGTCGGCTAATTTTTTTTTCAAATATCAACTAATTGATTTTTATTAGATATTTAGATATTATGTAATTACTCATACAATATATATTTACAATTCATATGGCGTCCTTTTTATTTGACCTTTAATGCGAAGGTTTCAAATCATAATCACGGAATTTCTGCAATATAAATTATTCGATTTTATAGCTGATTAATAATGGAAGTACGAATTTAATTTTTTTTTTTTATTTGATGAATAATAAATGCGTGAAGCTATTAAAATAAAAATTCCATGAAAGTGCAAAAAAAATTTTTTTTAATATATATTCGGATCCGACATTATTTTGAAATGTATCAAAAAAAGGTAATTTTAAGTACTTCAAGAATGCAACTTCTCAGAACCGACTTTTAACTCTCATTGGATTCGGTAAGCTTGCATCATTGTACGTTTCAGTGATAATGACAAAAAAAGAATGTATGTAGAATTTCGGAGGAAGCCGTGATCAGTAGTCCGTCAGTAAATTGACTTGTGGTTTGTGTAACGTGAATGTTTTTGTAACAATATCTATACTCATAGGAAGAAGTTGGCTGATGCACATCAATTGCCCGGGTAACTTATTTATACGTTTTAAAGTACTTTTCAGGAACTTAATGTTTTACA